TGCTTTCGATCGTATATAATCCGATGCGCATAGAATCATTAATAAATATGGTGACGAGGCAATATTGCTAATAATTAAATTTCGTCAACAAGTTTGCGTTATCAATCAGACTTCGCGGAAGTGTCCCGAGTCAGGTACACGGGAATTTGTCACGGGAAGAGAAATGGCTACCGTATTTTCCCTGCGCGTTAGACAGACTTGCGTGATATGGTTCTAACGATGCCGTAAACTGAGCCATTCGGTCGAAAACATTTCGACGGGCACATAAATAAACGAAACTGAACAAAGAGTGGTCGTAACGTATTTCTCAATTTCTGCTGTTCCGCTCAGTTCTCCCGGAGCCACTTCAAGGTTGAAGCGGTTCGAAAGCAAAGCCGGCTGTCGAGTTAGTCATACGTTCTAAAGTATATTTCAAACTAAATTAGACGTTGCTCGGGGACGTATATTTGACAGCCGACGGAGAGAAGATAATGATGTTGCATGCCACTTTAATAACGACGCCGCGAGCAACCTTGTTATCCTTGCTCGGCTTACACCGCGTAACCATGATAAATTCTCTCCTTAAAGCAGCATCTCGTCCGATACACTGAAACAATTTTTAAAAAACTGAACCGCCATCGTTCACCTGCTAACCCGTCTTTTTTTTAAATAATTTAACTAAGCGGCAACGCATAAAACGAAAGAAGGCGGAAGAAGACAGAACCCGCCGTTGAAGAGTTTTAATAACCCGAAAATAGTCGAGGGAGAAGGAATTAAGTATAAAATTGTATGTGTACGTAGGTTCTTCCTTACAGAGTAATGAAGAAGAGTTTAATTGAATTTGTTTAAGAGGAAAAATTTTTATCCAATTTCATAACTGGCGCGACGTGTTTTATAATGTATAAAAGCGTTAATACTAGGGTTTTAATTAATGCTTTAATTAAATCCGTACACTCGGTACGTGGCATGGATCAAAAGGCTTTCGTAATGGGAGAGTGAACAAATAAGGCGAAATTTGGAAAGAAAGCGTCGAATATATTGGTTTTCGACTTGGTTAGATTAATTCATTTAATGTTTAAATACACGTAGTATTTTTCTACGTGAAAATATTGATTTCGACAGAAGTTGTAGTAGTTCTACGGCAGAACCTCGAAATAATTGTTGTCCATGACTATAACGTAAAACCGAGAAGCCAAAAAATTTCTTAATCTGTATGACTGCGGGTATCGTCTGAACTAGAACTATGCGATGTTCTGCTGAAAGACCTGCGCCGCTGGTAATTTTCCAATTTTGATATATTTTACTGCAGGAAAAACAACTAAGCTCTTGAAACTATTAGAGCTGGCAGAACATCGAACGCGTTAACACTCGAACTATCGAGTATTTACAATAATTTTTACGTATCTTCATGTACAAATTATAAGACTACAATTAGTTTAGTTTCTAAGAATCATTTAATGCTTCTGTAAGTAAAAATATCAATTTTTAAATAGTTTCAGATACAAATATCTTTACGACTACAGTAATAGTAAAATAAAGAAACTAAAATCAGTGATTTTAACCCTTAGGTCCGAGAGACTACATAGTCGGCATTTGATTTGGCATAACAAAATTATGAAATTAGTTTGTAATTAAGGAATAAAACTATTTTACTTCAATACTGTATGTCTAATCACATTACATTGATGATTACCAATATTGAAATAAGAAAATGTGCTATTGAAATAAAATAATTTTCCTTGATTCGTATATTATTTCTATTGGTATAATGTTTCATTAGAAAATTATAAATATATGTAGCGAAGAAACTTTCGCTAAAGGTTAACAGCCGCTACTGTTCTAAAGTTAATATATATATTCTCCTGCTACATCTGTAATTGTTGTAACGCATCATTACATAAAGACAAGTGTTTTATCAAGCATTATACATGAAAAAATGTTAAAGTTCCTCATGCCTAAATAAAAAAAGTTCATTCAAATATATACTAATTTAAAAAAAAAATATCTGCCGTAAAAAATATCAGCGAAACATTAGCGGTCGGCAATGTGTTAATACTGAATTAAAATGAAACAAATAATCACCTTTTTTCGACGCGTGGAAGGAGTCATCTTTCGGCACATACTGTATATCGTACTCCAGCGTCGTTTTTGGCAGAATGAGCCTCTCCTTGTTGATTTTGTAGACGGCATATTTGAAGGCCAGCTCCGTACTGCTATCCTTTTGGTCATGAGTGAATATAGCACCTGAAAACAATCAGGCGATACGTGTGAGAACAGCCGGTAGAGTGGTTCATTAAATATGGTTTTCGCGACGGTGGCGGAATTCCCGATCAAAATGCACCCTTTTCATGCCAATATGCTTAGAACGTGCTGATCCTGCTATTCTTTTCGAACGAAGGACAAGTGCACTCCGATACATTCTATTAGCGGTGCAAAACAACTTTTTTGCTTGTCGTATTAATTTTCACGGTAACACGGTGCAGTCGGGCAGATAATAATGAATGTTAATTTTCCAAAGTTTCAGCGAACTCGTACTGTGTTCAACGTCTGCATCATTATTGCGTTTCTCGCATGACCGTACACCGTTTCATGGAAAAAGCACTCGATAACGGTTCACCACCAGCCGATTTGCATATCGAGAGTCTATTATGCGCTTAATGTCAGATTCTTCGACTTGTATCGTGACTCGAGCGCCGAAGCAAACTTGTTTACTAATTGCTGATCGATGCTTCGGAACTCGGCGAGGCCGTGGACACGAGCATGTCAAGGACTTGGTGCACATATACAAATGAATATACTCTCGCGCTCGCAGGTATTAGAACACTTGCTGCGAGATATATGCGATACTTTATAAAGACTGATTTATTTGATAATCATTTTGTATATTTGACTTTGAAAATTGTAATTTATAATTTACAAACGAAAAATGAAAAATATTTGACTATTGATTCTAGCACTGTCAACTTGGTAGGAAAATACATATCAGAATTTGTGTTTTATTATGGACTCATTATCATTGATAGCCTTAAGAAATACTTATACAAATTAGTGCTGCCTTTCTGATAACAATGAAAAGAAATTTTCACGTGAAAAAATGTCACTTGCTTTAACGTTTAAAAATAAAAAGTACATCCCATTTGATGAATATATCTTCATATGATTTAGCCAGAAAAGTCTATGTGCACATTATGCAAATTTGGAAAATCCGGAGAAACAGTTTAGAATTACGAAATTTTACAATATTCAGACATGAACCAATATTAAGTTCATTTGGGTTGAATAATTAATTAGCATTAATGCGAGCATCAATCGATGATCATACAGTTTCATGGTTCAGAATAGGATGGTGGCTTTGTTGTTGAAAATTTCTACGAAACTTCGAAATATGGGTAGACAAACAATATAGCCGGTTCAACCGTTCGCATAATTAATTAAGAGGGACGCAAGTATTAATCGGTTGCCGTGAAGAATGGTGGCGCGGTGAAGAATCGTTCTTTTGTTGCTGAAAAATAGCCTGGTGTAGAGCACAACGGTGAGTTATCAATTTCCAGGCGCGAGCACCCTCCGTGGATGGTCCGCTATCAAGAATCCAGTGGCCCGCGGCTATGACAGTGACAGATGACGGACTAGTAATCGGAACGAAGCTGCTTTCATCGGGTGTCCCATCAGGCGAACCCTATTCATTTAACTGAACTGATAATTCGTGGTAAACTGCACGAAAGAAATCGGCTTGATGGGTGAATTGCCCATTTTTGCAACACTTTAATGACAGGTAATTCGATATTTACTCAAACATTTATACTGATAAATATTAACATTATCACTTTACTTTCTAAATGAACAATTTTTTAATCACCAAAATAAATTTGTTTTGTATTGTGATTTTCATAAAATAATTTACGAAGATGAGAATTGGCATATAGATCGATAGTCTATATTTTCTATTACATAATTTTTATTCCATCATTATTCATATTTGAATGAAAATATATTCTGAACATTAACAATATCAACGAGATTATGGTATTCAAACTTGCAAAACCCTACTTAAATTGTAAAAGAAATCTAACGATAGATAATTCCTGCACGAACATGTCACTTTTTTGTTGATCCAATGCGAATGAAAAAAGGAAATATACGAAGAAACATCACAAATAAACAGAATAATGTAAACTTGTCTCGCTCCATTATGAATCAGTTTGAATTCACCAAACTAGAAATGAATGCAGCGAAAGAAAAACATCAAAGCGTTTATTGTTCCATTGAACATACCCTATTTGGCCAGCTAGACTACTAATTAGCGGTGAACTATAAACGTGGAATCCATTCGATGACAAACAGCCTGTGGTATTGGGTCGGGGCCGTTATTCAGATCCTTTTTTCTAGCTACATCCTAGCCTAGGGGTAAAACACATACCCCGAGGGTTGGTTTCGTATAAATGTAAATATCTGTACCGTCTCGCAGATGTCCTTCAAAGGGTGGGCCCGAGTAATTTCCTGCGGAAAAGATCCTATTTCTGCGAGACCTTTATTTTCTGGGGAAGTCTGACAAGACCCGGTCTGACCCCTATCAAAATCGAGGCCATCTTCGTGATTGGACGAGCGACGGTTTTTCATCGAGGTTTCCACATGGACGAGTTTCCTTTGGCTCTCTCCTATGCGACAGTTTACTTTCGGCTAGGCTGTAGCTCCTAGCTACGCTATCGGGCTCGCCAATGCACCAGGGCGACGGAAATAGCAAAACCATAATCGAGCACTCGCGGCGTGATACGCTTAAATAATACACGCTTTGATCTACTTCTCCTTTCTTCTGCATCCTCTTTTTTCCGAACGCTATGTTTTCCATCAGCTCCTGGAGATCAGAAGGAATTTCTATGCTGCCATACATAGATATTGCGACACTAGGGGAGCATGAAACAGAAAAGCTTCATCTATGACGCGTGTTCCTTCAGGGTTGAACTGGATATTAAATATCAATTAAGGAACTGGACCAATGGGGCTTCATTTGTAATCGAGGTTAGGGTGTTCTAGCTGCTGAATATGTTAGCTCGTAGTACTCATTGCATAGAGTATCATGTTATAAATTGGTAAGATTATCTGATTTACAAGAGTAATAGAAATGGGATGATGTAAACAGGTATATTGAAGCTTTCTACACTAAAAAAGACAGCGAAACGTGTATTGACATTTGAATTTGTTATTATATAACGCGTTACTGTTAGTGGCTTCTACTTAGGTAATCTCTTCTGGTAAGATGCTACAAAGTAATAGCCTCCTCCTTTTTAATTCGAAACG